AGGAATAATCCTACTAACAGATGTTCTTTTTATGAACAGCTTTTCAGGCATCTAGTCTCTAAAAGTGAATACCTATAACCAGATAGTGATTTTCTTGAAAAATATCCAACTTTAGATTAAAAGATATTGGGAGGAATAATCCTACTAACAGATGTTCTTTTTATGAACAGCTTTTCTGGCATCTAGTCTCTAAAAGTGAATACCTATAACCAGATAGTGATTTTCTTGAAAAATATCCAATCACATTAACAAGTAATTAGAGAACCATATGCCAAAGGTAAGCTCATATAATTCCTAAAAATCAAGTCTGTTGTCCATTGTGTCATTTCCATTAATGTGGAAAATCAAAAGTTAAGCATATTTGAAAGCAAAAAAGAAAAAAAAGATATCTTTCTGGGAAGAAAACAGTTTTGATACTTAAAATTCATATAGAAAACAGATTTGCCTACTAATTTAACACTTCTAGCATAATAGCAAACTTAAGCAGAGAAGATTACATTATGTTTAAAGATAAAACAATGGACAGTTCCCTAAAAAGGAAGAAATATGAGCAAATTGGTCATTCAAGATCTATTTACTTCTACTATAAAAGATAACTAACAATTTATTAGCATAAACATCTGAATAAATAGGGTTCCTTTTTTTTTTTTTTTAAAGATGACTGGTAAGGGGATCTTAACCCTTGGCTTGGTGTTGTCAGCACCACGCTCTCCCAAGTGAGCCACAGGCCAGCCCTAAATTGGGTTCCTTTTGTGAATGAATATACATGAAGAATTTAAAAACTCCTTATCATTTACACACATCCCTTAGTAGTTATAAGCCTATAAAATACCTTTATTGAAACAAATACGTGATTAGCATTTATGAAGGAAGAAAATGTTCACTGCTCTTTCCAGAAACATACCAGTGCTGGGTCTTTAGGCAGTAAATTCACAGTAAAATGTTACTGAGTTCCATTTGGCAGTCATGAAGAAGAACTAGATATGTTCAAGCCGCTCAACAATTTCTTTTATTCATATTCATGTAAGTGGTGAATGAATGTTTAATGCTTTTTAAAATTCTTCCAGTTTTAAATTTTCTGGCTAATATAAAATCTTATTTTTTTAGGCTTGCTTATAAATTAGGCTTAAAATAAGAGTCATAAATGCATAGAAAAAGATGACTTGCAGAACATATGCCAAAATGTTAACAGTGGTTATCTTTTGACAATATAAAGGTGATTTTTGTTTTCTTCTCTATACTTAGCTGTATTTTCTAATTGTCAGGAAGAAAAATTGTTAGAAGGAAGAAGGGTCACTTACACATTTGAAATAGTAGAAACTGCTGATTTCCAAGGGTATTAAATTTAGAGATAAAATAATATTTATTTCACATATTAATCAGGCCTCACTGGCATTAGCATCTGACTGTTAGCCATTGTAAGCATTGCAACTCAAGCTGTAATAATTATTCAAATAAATATGCTTTACAGTAAATGCCTTTCACAATTAAATACAGAACTTTAAAAAATGACTGTGTAATACAAAGGCATAGAAGAAAACTAAATAATATCGAGCTAAAAACATAGGTATAACTACAACAAGAAAAAAAGACAAAAGACATTACAATAAGACTAATACTATAAAGGGCCTAAAACTGTAACAGAGGAAGAAGGGAGAAGAAAAGACAAAACTTTTATTAATAGTACCTACTTTATGCCAAGCACCCTGCCAGGTAACTTTTTTTTTTTTTACACACTATTTTAATTCATCCTACAATAGTCTTATGGGGAAGATGGATTATGCCCATTTTGCAAAAGGGAAGAGGCTCAGGTTAAGCAATTTGCCACAATCTTATATCTAGCAAATTACAAATCTAAGGTTCAAACATAAGTCTTTCTAACTCTAGAATTTGTTCTATGCACATCCTCACTTCAGCACCTAGGCCCCTAGGAGCAATAAGATAAATAGGGTTAGCTCTAAGTCATAAAAAGGCAAGTTCCCATGAGGCAGATGATATATTTGGCAGGGCAGATTAACATTTTGGGTAATGAGGAAATACCTGTTATTTATTATAAATACTACTTAACTTGCTGTTAATCTCTATGGCCAGCAGAGAGCCTGGCTTCTCTGCTAGAGCACAGGGATATGCTGTGAATAGGTAATTTAATCTGGAGGCAAGGAAGCACTTTACTTTTCCAACCCCTGCATAGGCTTAACACCAGCTAACTGTTAAAAGAAATAGGTGAGAGAAGTAACACACAAATTCTCTCACTCATCCAACCCTGGAGATAAGAGATATTTAAAGGGAACATCATTGGTGGTTCTCCAAATCCTACAGCCTTCTACTACTGCCACAATCTGTAAAAATGACAGAGTTCTTACCCTAGACTCTGTCAAAACCACCATTCTCCATTAACTTCTACTGTTCTCACAACCTGTGAGCAGAGAACAAAATTCTATTGGACAGTTTATAACTTTTATGGAACCAATGGAACTTTCACTGGGCGATGTGGTCAGCAACTGCACATCATGACAATTTAGAAAACATTCTTTCGCAGCAGTGGTAGGGACTGACAAAAACAAAATATTCAGTGAAGCTAAGGGTGGAGCTTTTAAGCTAAATGTGTTCAATCTTAGGTACTTTTCAGGTTTGGGGAGTGAGAGAGCCAGAAAATCTATATCCATGTCCAATTTTTTGCACTATTGGACAATATTTGCACTATTTGAAAGAGTGGCCCTTATTTGCACAGCTTCCATTGATTCTAACTCACCCCATTGTTCCTGAACCTTGCCCAAACTGAAGATAAGACATGGGGCCAAAACTAGACCCACTACTTAACTCCTCATGTCTATAAGTGAGATAGGTAGTTCTGCTTAAGCTGACTGACTAGGCACTGAGTATGATAAGTATCTTGAGAAACTTTTTTGAGAGTTAAAGAAGTCCAACTGGCCCCTCTCTCTTTTTGGGTCCCAAGAGTAACCCAAAACTAAAAAATTATTTTCAGCTTAAAACATTTAAATAAAAATGACAGCTTATATAATGCCATATTTTGCTTAAAAACATAAAAACTCTGTCTTTATTCGTTGCTTGAGAGAAAAAAAATCTAGTTGAATATTTTACACATTTCAGGGTGTTAGAAAATTAATATACTAAGCCATAATATAATTACTCTATCAATTCCAACTAAAAATTACCATAGTCAATAACTTAATACTTTGCCTTGAAAATTATGCTTTAGTTTGTCCTTGAATAAGAGTATACTGTTAGGACCATTTTCTCTTTTCTTAGTTATGAACTATGATTTTCTTTTTATGTGGTCATACCTTATATTTATTATTGAAGTTGTTGGTCTACACTGTATAAAAATGTGTTTCCTTTATAGAAAAACCCATTTTAGATGTCATAAAAATCCAAAACTGCGCGTGAAGACTCACCTGAAACCACACAAAATGTTGTAGTAGATCAGATGAGTAATCTAGTTAAACTATGAGTCTGTTTCTTTCAATGTCACTGGATTTCCCTCTAGAATGGCAGCCTTCAAATGTGAGGCATTTATCTCAAATATTTCTAACATATACTTTCTCTTAGTCCTATCCCATTTATGCACAAAATTCCAACCCAATACCTCAAACTAAACTGTGATACAGATACTACAACATAAAAACACAATGTGTGTGTGTCTGTATACATGTGCATGTGTTTTTTTATTTATTTTTTTTTTTTGGTGGTTGACCAGTAAGGGGGTCCAAACCCTTGACCTTGGTGTTATCAGAACCACACTCTACCAAATGAGCCACCAGCCCATATGTTTATTCTTGAGTATTGCTTTTGGCTAGAAGCATAAAGATTTATACTGACAAATTGAATTCTAATTAATTCAATCTATTATTTAGTGAATACTATATGAAAAGCACTTCTTCAAAAATTAGTTGATATAAAAATTAAATATAGTTACAGGTTTCCTTTATTAATTCAAGGACAGCAGTTAGGAATACAATGTTATCCATGGGTAAGCTTCTGAAAGTTCTTCAGTCCACATCCATAATTAAAATCTCTTTAAGATATTCTTCCATTTATTTTTTTAGCATCACCTCCCCTCAACTATTCTGATCAGCTCTTTGGAGCAGCTCCTGACAGAGAAAGAGTAAAGGGTAAGGACAATAACTTTTGTCCTCACTTCAAATAAGGGAAAGGGTTGAAGGCAGTTGTGTAGATTTCAGATTAAACACTTTATGTGTTTCCCTGTCTCTTATCATATGACAAAAAGGCTGATAAAATTTCCCATTTTATTTGTACAAAAATTATTCCATTCATATTTATTTTTTATTTTTATTTTATTTTATTTTATTTTTTTGACCGGTAAAGGGATCGCAACCCTTGGCACAGTGTTGTCTGCACCACGCTCAGCCAGTGAGCGCACCGGCCATGGGGCCGGCCCTCCATTCATATTTTAATGGTAGTTCTACTATTTCTGGATATAATTAATAAGAGCAAGTTTATCCCACTCTAATCTGTTTGGTCTTCATAGCCCTCATCTAAAGAATCCAGTGTTTCAGCCTATTCACACCCAAATGCCCATGCTGTATCTTTTTTTTCTTCCAAGTTTCATCAACAGATTGTCCAAGGTGTAGATGCACTTAACTATGTACTTTTACTTTTACTTTTCACTTTACCAATTACCTAAAAAAAAAAAAAAATCCAATAATTCCCTGGTCCTTTTATAAAAACTATTTCTTTTAGAAGTTATTTCTATTTAAACATACACTGTCAATTTCAGGGTTTTGGTTCAGTTTTGGTGGGAAGAGAGTTATTTTGGTTAAAAAGTAAATTAAGTTAAAACCTGAAACAATTGGCTAAGTTAAGTTATGATTCTTTACAAACTTATTTATAATAATGGAAAAGAAAATATGCAAACTAGGAAGTTGATTTAAACAAGCAAACCTCAAATTAAAATTAAATTCTAAAATATACAGTAGTGAGCAAACATAATACAAATTTTTAAAAAATTTTATACTTACAGGCAAATGAGTAAACACTTGAAAAATACTTCTCAAAAAATTAATAAGATCCATTAAATAACCACTAGCTCTTCCATCTGGCTCAGACATTGTCCAGTCATAATCGGCAAGCTGAACAAATTCATCAATTTTTTGATTAAGTTTGGTATATATTTCTCCTTCTGCTGTATGTCGAGCATCCTGATAGGACAAAATAACAACAAAAAATAAGAAACAATTATAGAAGTAGATAATAAAACAAGTTTTCTTTAAATTCTAGATTTTATTTTATGTTTTTCTTTGTTCTAATATTTTAGTCATTTATTCAAAGTCCAAGAAAACTTGGTTTTTCTGCTGGCAGTGCTCTATTTATTTGACTAGACATAACATCTTTTCTTCCTTCTGTTCCAACTACACTACCATTTTTGTCTTTATGTGATAGGACACTTTACAAGATGTTAATTCCTGACGTTCTCACAACTCTAACAAGACCATTAAGTGAAACAGAAGTGGAAAAACAGAAGTTATCAAGAATGCGGAAGACCACCCTCATCCGCTGGCTCACTGAAAGAAATTAAGTTGGACTATCACAGAAGAAATGGGGCTTTAAGGTCATCTCTCTGAGGAGAAAGGAAATGGTGAAAGTGACATCAGCAAAAACAGCAGACTAAGGATCTCCAAGCATTCTCTCCTCCACAAAAGCAACAAGAAAACTGTCCAAAATTAACAAAATCAACTTTTTCAGAACTGTGGAAATTAACCCCAAACTTGTAGCAATCAAGGCAGCATTTATTCAAGAAAAACAGCTGAATCTTGGTAAGAAAATGGGCTTTGTATCATTTTTAATGTGCCCTATTTCTATTTCCCCTCCCCTGCTCCAGAGCCACAGTACCCTTAAAAATCAATATCCCACAACTATGGTGAAACCCAGCAGCCTGCCAGCCACCAAAGGGGGCAGAACAGGGTTGGAGCTCCTTTAAAGCCACATTCCCAGAGAATTATCATTATTTGACCTATCTGGTGGTTCCTTGGAAGACCCCATCCCTACTTGCAGGGATGTCTTTAGTTGACCTGAATCAGGGCTTGTCCAGGGCAAAAGCCTTTTCCCTAAGGGCATTTGTCAAAAACAATTAGAGGCAATTGTTTAACACGGAGGGTGTCCAAGGTGGTTGGGACACATATTAATATGGTTAACCAAAAAGCTTAAAAGGATAAACTGGAAAATAAGATGTCCACAGATGGCTGTAAAAAGCTCTGATATATTCCTGGAAATCTATAAGGCCATGTGTATGTGTAGGGCTGTGCACATGCACAGGAAAGACCTGAGAGGTTCTATGGTCCTATTTATGGCTGACCTGGAAGCTCTGTGCAAGCAAAAAGTAAAAGCTAAAGCAGAGTCGTTAACTTCCTGTCTCAGTGTTTAAGGCATGCCCCAACATGCACACATAGCTCCCCAAAGGAAATCTGTGTCCAATCATTAGCTGACCCCTAAGCTAACCAACCAGAGACTTCACTGGCCCCACATGACAAAGAATATAGACTTTACAGAATTACTTCAGAAAAGTCATGAACAAACAGCAACAAACAGAAGAAATAACAAGCCCTAGGGAGGGGAAAAGTTGCCACATTATATTATTTAAAATGTCCAATTATCAACAAAAAATTATAAGCCATGCAAAGAAACAAGAAAGTATAACCCATACATAGGGGAAAAAGCAATCAATATAAAACAATCAATAGAGGAAGCCCAGACGTTGGAATTGTAAGACAAAAACTTTAAATAAGCTATTTACAATACATTCAAAGAACAAAAGGAAACCAGGTCTAAAAAACTAAAAGAAAATATGAGAACAATGCTTCACCAAATAGAGAACATAAATAAATAGACAGAAACTGTTTTTTTTAAAAAAAGTACAATAATGAAAAAGTCACTAGAGGGGTTCAATAGCAGATATGAGCAGGCAGAAGTAGAAGACTTAACCAACAATGTAAATCAACTAGATCTAACATTCCACTCAACAATAGTAGACCACAACATTACTCTCAAGAGAACATGGGACACACACCAAAATAGAGCATATGTTAGGACATAAAACAAGCCTTAAAAGGATTGAAAGCATACAAAGTATGTTCTTTGACCACAATGGGAGGAAATCAGAAATTAATAACAGAAAATTTGGAAAATTCACAAATATGTGGAAATTAAACAACAGATATCTAAATAACCAATGGATCAAAGAAGAAATTGTGATTGAAATTAGAAAATGCTATAAGATAAATGAAAATAAAAACACTGTATTAAAACTTGTGGGAGGTAACCAAAGCAATGCTTAGAGGGAAATATATAGCTATACATGACTATATTATAAAAGAAGAAAGATCTCAATTAACCTAAATTCCCATGTTAAGAATCTAGAAAAAGAAGAAATGGTAGAGATGAACTCTCCTCAGGCAGCAGCATTCCGATGGAATGGTATGAGGGATATCAGGAGACTATTTAGGCACTGCGGCCTTTGCAACCAAGGTAAAAGATGCCCAACCCTATGCTTCTTTTTTGAAAGGATCACATGGATTTGGACACGGAGCATTTTGAAAGTTAAGAACAGGAAGGATCTCTTCCTTTCCTTCAAGTTGTTTTTGGGCTACCCAAGTACCTGGAATTCTTTGTACCACCTTAAGGAGGGGTGGACAATTGCCACCCTGGCCAGTAGAGCTGAAGAGCTAGAATTAATTTGATTTGGATAGCAATGTGATATTTCTGGCAAAACTACTATGAGCATATCTCGTTTTATTGCATTTCACTTTACGGCACTTAGCAGATACTGCATTTTTTACAAATTGAAAGCTTATGGCAACCCTGAGTCAAGCAAGAGTATCGGCACCATTTTTCCAATAGCATATATACTTTTTGGCAATAAGGTATTTTTTAATTAAGATACATATATTTTCTTTTAGACACAATACTACTGCATACTTAAAAGACTATAGTATAGTGTAAACCTAACTTTTATATGCACTGGGAAACCAAAAACGTGTGACTCGCTTTACTATATACATATATTTTCTTTTAGACACAATACTACTGCATACTTAAAAGACTATAGGATAGTGTAAACCTAACTTTTATATGCACTGGGAAACCAAAAACGTGTGACTCGCTTTACTATGATACTCCCTTTACTGCAGTGGTCTGGAACTGAACCTGCAACATCTCCAAGGTACACCTGTGCGTATTTAGACTCTTACCTCGACTAAGAAGAGACCTAGTATCACTCACCATTATTAGGCATATATTATTTTTGAATATAATTTAACCTAAAATACAATTTATATTATATCTATGAATAAGAGCACTATAAAGACACTGTACTGAGATACTTCCCATCCTCAAGGATTTCACAATCCAGGGAGAACAATATAACAAAATATGGCTAGTGCTATATTGTAAGTTCAGCAAAGCATCCTGAGTAAACAAAGGAGGAAACAATCAGTACTTATTTGATTTGCTGGAAAATGCTTTGTACAAGGGATGTCATTTGAGTTGGAACCTCAAAAATTATAATCAGGAATGCTCACCAGGTATTTTGGTTTGTGTGCCTTAAGAAATTTTCCATAGGTAGTATAAGAGAAGGTATATTTGAACAATCAAATGTTCCATTTCAGTATTTTAATGCTTTCTGGGCTCCCTTTCCAATTTTCACACTAACTAACCACTTAATACTGCCACATTGGGCCGAGGAAATCCAACCACTGGCAGACACCCATCCATTTGCATGCCTGCTTTCACAGTAGGATTGGAACAGGAATTCCAAGAAAGGTTTATATTTGACATAGACAACACAAACATTCAACAGTGTAAAAATAAACACAACTTTAGATAAAACACGAATATAAGATAAGTTAATGTTAAAGGTATTAACTGAAATTTTAATGGAGCACTACTAATACAGTACAGGTTGAGTATCCCTTAACCGAAATGCTTGGGACCAGAAGTGTTTTGGATTCCAGATTTTCTTCAGATTTTAGAATATTTGCATTATTCCAGTTGAGCATCCCTGATCTGAAATCCAAAATCTAAAATGCTCCAATGAGCATTTCCTTTGAATGTTATGTTGGCACTCAAAAAGTTTTGGGTTTTGCAGCATTTTGGAAGTGAGTTCTGACTCAAAATAGTTACTTATACTAACTTTAGCTTGTTAGTCCCTCTCCATT